TTTGGGATGAATTAAAGCGTAGACTACAAGCCAGGCCTCCTCGTCTGACATCAATGCCTGACCTCACAAATACGCTTCTGGATTCTTACATTCCCATAGACACATTCCTAAACCTTGTGGACTAAGACTGGGATGCCATTAAAGTTCATATGCATATAAAGGCAGACGTCCCAATATTTTTGGCAATATAGTGTATGTAGCATTACTCCCTTAGGAGTCGCTGAGTTTTTTTCAGACTCCCTGTCACTCTGGACCCCTCTCTGAAAGCCCAACCACTGCTGACACCACAATACTCTCCTAACCAGAGTAAATTATCACCAAAAAATTTGACTCACATACAGATTGGAGTGAACTAATAGGATTTTTATATTAAACTTGGATGTAAGCTTGCTCAAACAGCGTAAAGTGGTATATGTAATGGCAATTACCACTCTAAGCAAAGAAAACAACACATACAACAAAATCTCAATCAGTGTTGGCAGGCTTGTTATTCAGAAATCAACCCAAAACCTCTTACCTGAGATGCTTCTAGTCCCCAGTGAGCAAGGAAACTATCAAAGGTGGAACTAACTCACTTCAGGATCTGATGGCAAGGTTTAAATCTGAAATAGAAAGGAGCTTTAATTAGGGTAGTCAACACTCCTTTAAATGCAGTGAGGAATCTTCTGCGTGCTCGTTGGAGTGCAGTTGGTGCACTACAACGATCCAGAATTTTTAAGTGGGAAGAGATGAAAGTGGCATTCCCTCACAGGATTAACACAAGGGGGACAGATACTATCCCTTTAAGTGGCACTTGACTTGCGTGGTGTCCCTTTAATGTACTTGGCAGGTTGCAAACTTTAGGCAAAAAAAGGTGTCAGAAGTTGGCAGAAGCACTTGCTGGCAAAGGGAAAAACCATCTCTGATGGCAATGGTGGTAGCTGTTCCTTAAGAGGGTAGGCCTATGGTTAAGTGAACAATGATGTAGTTTGGCCTGCAGAAGGCATGCACTGCAGTCAGCTCCGATAATTGAACTATGCTGCAAATATGCTCAATAGTAGCAATGTCTGCAACTCTGTGCAGGAAAGTGACAGATTGGAAAGGAATGTGAGTGTTCACTTGTTTGGCTGGTGTATGGGACTCTCTCACCTAGTCTATGGCTTCCAGCAGGTTCTGGTGGTCTCTCTCTCTCAGTAGATGAGAGCCCCCAGCAGTTCTCTGATCCTCACTTCAGTGCTCGGTCCATTTACAGCACTCTGAGTCATCAGCTGACAGGATGTCTCTCTCTCTCTCTGTAGGCTGGCGATGCTGGTTATCAGCGATCCTCTTGTCTGGTACTCTGGTGGCCACACAACTCTCTCTTTACACCTCTGCTCTCCAGCTCTTTCCCCTCTCACTTCCTCTTCTTGTTCCAGGGCTTCTACATTTCTATGCCTCTGCCCACATGCCAGTTCTTCTGGAAAAAATGAGTCCCCCAATTGGCAGCCTTCTAACAAAGTGCTGCCTATCAGTGCCGCCTATCAGTGCCGCCTATCAGTGCTGCCTATCAGTGCTGCCTATCAGTGCCGCCTATTAGTGCCCATCAGTGCTGCCTCATCAACGCACATCAGTGAAGGAGAAAAATTACCTGTTTGAAAAATTGTATAATAGAAACAAAGAAACTTTTTTTTTTCAAATTTTTTGCAGTTTTTTTGTTTATAGCGCAAAAAGTAAAGTGCCCAGTGGCGATTAAATACCACTAAAAGAAAGCTCTATTTGTGAGAAAAAAATGATAAAAATTTCATATGGGTACAATCTTGCATGACTGCGCAATTGTCAATCAAATTTGGACAGCGCTGAAAGATGAAAATTGGCCTGGTAAAGAAGGGGGTATAAGTACCCGGTAGGCAAGTGGTTGATGCTGGTCCTCTAGGCTCAATAATTTTATTAGCTCAGAACATGTATGTATGCAGATCAGATGCTCTGACTTCATACGATGTATATTTGTTCTGGGTCAGTATCTCAAAGAATAATTGAAGCCAAAGAAAGCTTTTTCAGGAGGTCCTCAGTAATGGCTTACATATTGCTCAGTAAGGGTGTTTTGAACCAGTGCACCTGCATTGATTAACCAATTGCTCTCCAGAGGATTTACCCCCCTCCTGACCAGGCCTTTTTTTTGCTATTCTGCGCTGCACTATTTCAATTGGTAATTGCACGGTCATGCAATGCTCTACCCAAACAAAATGTATGTACTTTTTTCTTTCTTTCAGTGGTATTTGATCACCTGTGCACTTTTTATTTTTTGGGCTATAAACAAAAAAAACAATATTTTTTACTTTTGACTATAAAAAATATATGGTAAACATAAAGTTAGTCATAAATTTAGGCCACAATGTATTCTGCTACATGTTTTTGGTAAACAAAATCCCAATAAGTGTATATTGATTGCTTTGTGTGAAAGTTATAGCTTCTACAAACTATGGTATAGATACTGCAATTTACGCCATTTTTTGCTATACAGCACTGCACTAGTTTAACTGACAATTGCGCGGTCATGCAAAGCTGTACCCAAACTAAATTCATGTCCTTTCTTTCACTAGAGCTTTATTTTGGTGGTATTTGATCACCTGTGCGCTTTTTATTTTTTGCTCTATAAACAAAAAAATACTGAAAATTTTGAAAAAAAAACTGTTTTTTACTTTGGGCTATAAAAAATATATAGTAAACTCAAAGTTAGTTATACATTTAGGCCAAATGTATTCTGCAACATGTCTTTGGTAAAACAAATCTCAATAAGTGTATATTGATTGCTTTGTGTGAAAGTTATAGCATCTACAAACTATGGTATAGATACTGCAATTTACGCCATTTTTTGCTGTACTGCACTGCACTAGTTTAACTGACAATTGCGCGGTCATGCAATACTGTACATTAATGAAATTTATGTCCTTTTTTTCACATAAATAGAGATTTCTTTTGGTGGTATTTGCTCACCTGTGCATTTTTTATTTTTCACACTATAAACAAAAAAAAAAACCCAAATTTTGGAAAAAAAACAATATTTTCTCATTTCTGTCATAAAACATTTCCAGAAAAACTAAAATTTTGCCATAAATTTAGGCCAAAATGTATTCTTCTACATGTTTTTGGTAAAAAAAAATCCCAATAAGTGTATATTGATTGTTTTGTGTGAAAGAACCCTGTAGGCCTCTTCATTAGAGTACCTTTCCATTGACATTTTGGCCACTAAATTTATAAGTACCTAGTGCGACTCACGGGAAAAAGAGCACCTGACTATCAGGGACTGATTGAACCGCTACAAAAAAAGTTACCTGCAAGTGCTAACAGGGATCAGGCATGATTCTGCGAACACTGCGGTTCTGTGTGCAATGTATCAAGTGACAGTGACCTACTGACACTGCACTTGCTGGGGGAGAAGGGGGGGGGGGGGTAGGCGTAGGGGCTAAATGCAGGTGTTGGCAGGTGCCGGGGCTGATCTCACTAACGCTGCATTTTTGGGGACAGTATACTAATATAAGCACTGGTAAAGTGCTGATCTGATCAAAGATATTGATCCGTTTATACCTTATACTAGCAATGGAGGTTTATTGTGTATGTGAGCGTGTTCCTGGCAATCAAGGGTTAAATGTGATTGCTAGCGTACTGACGGGCAATCTGACGCTATCTGAGAGGAGTGCTAACTGACGCTAATGCTATCTGAAGTCGCCGGAAGACACTAATACAGTGATGAGCAAAAATCTGTACACTGTACTAATGACACTGGTGACAGGGCAGTGAAGGGGTTAAATGGGGGGGGGGGGGGGGGGGGATCAAGGGGTTAAATGTGTCCTAAAGTGTTCTAACTGTGAAAAGTGTACTGCTTTTACTCACATGTGTCTTGATTCTTCTCTCACTGGGACGGAATGTGCCCAGAGAGAGAAGATGTCATCATTTCCTGTACCTGTGTAATTGTAAACACAGGTAATGGAAGATCCCCGATAGGACAGGGATCGATCATCTGACTTAGGCCGACCATCACTGGTCTAAATCAGATGATTGATCCCTCGAGGATCATATCACGGCACCTGGGGGTCGGCGGGGGGCATGCACGCCCCCCCCCCCGCCCTGCGAAAACTGCGGGAGTGTGAAATATATATATATATATATATATATATATACACAGTATATATATGTGATTTTGCGCAGTATTTCTACTGCTGTTTTGCCAAAGCGAGCTGCATATTAACCACTTGCCCTCCGGAAGATTTACTCCCCTTAATTTCAACTGGTAATTGTGTGGTCATGCAGTGCTGTACCCAAATAAAATTTATGTCCTTTCTTTCACACGTACAGAGGTTTTTGTGTGGTATTTGATCACCACTGGGTTTTTTATTTGTTGTGATATAAAACAGATAAAAAAGCTATTTTCCACTTTTGGTTATAAAACATATCCAGTAAACTCAAAGTTAGTCATAAATTTAGGCCAAAATGTATTCTGGTAAAACAAAATCCCAATACATGTATATCAATTGGTTTGTGTGAAAGTTATAGCATCTACAAACTATGGTACTGTATATACACTATATTGCCAAAAGTATTGGGACGCCTGCCTTTACACGCACATGGACTTGAATTGTATCCCAGTCTTAGTCCGTAGGGTTCAATATTGAGTTGGCCCCACCCTTTGCAGCTGCAACAGCTTCAACTCTTCTGGGAAGGCTGTCCACAAGGTTTAGGAGTGTGTCTATGGGAATGTTTGACCATTCTTCCAGAAGCGCATTTGTGAGGTCAGGCACTGGTGTCGGACTAGAAGGCCTGGCTCGCAGTCTCTGCTCTAATTCATCCCATCTGTCGAGTTGAGGTCAGGACTCTGTGCAGGCCAGTCAAGTTCCTCCACCCCAAACTTGCTCATCCATGTCTTTATGGACCTTGCTTTGTGCACTGGTGTGCAGTAATGTTGGAACAAGAAGGGGCCATCCCCAAACTGTTCCCACAAAGTTGGGAGCCTGAAATTGTCCAAAATGTCTTGGCATGCTGACGCCTTAAGAGTTCCCTTCACTGGAACCAAGAGGCCAAGCCCAACCCCTGAAAAACAACCCCACACTATAATCCCCCCTCCACCAAACTTTACACTTGGCACAATGCAGTCAGGCAAGTACCGTTCTCCTAGCAACAGCTAAACCCAGACACGTCAAAGGGATTGCCAGACAGAGAAGTGTGAATGGTCAGTCCAGAGAACACATCTCCACTGCTCTAAAGTCCATTGGCAGCGCGCTTTACACCACTGCATCCAAAGCTTTGCATTGCACTTGCTGATGTAAGCAGGGTGTATGTACCATGAGACAAACAATGCGTTTGCCTAGGGCAGCATTTTTAAGGGGGAACGGCACCGCCCCCCTCCCTGGAAGAAGGGACTCATGTAGCAAGTGGCCAGGGCCAATCTTCATGGAGAGTGGAGAGTCCACCTGGAGGGAGGCAGGGCAGGCAGCCAAGCGAGGGGTGATCATCTGATAGCAGACAGCTGACCATGGCAGGGAGCAGGGAGAGCTCACATACACACATTGGTAAAGTGCGGGAACTCCAGCATACAATATCTTCTGATCTCTCCCCGATCCGTTGCTTATACCTCCGCTGACAACTGCCCAGCTGTCACTTGTCCTCCACTCCTCTACCCCTAGGTGATTGGTGATTTTTTTTTTTCGCCCCATGGCCACCTCATGCTCCAGCCCCGCCCCACCTCCCTCTGGGTCTGCTTGCAGCGAGATCACCATGGAGCCAGAGAGGAGTTTAAGAAGAGGCTGCGGCTGGAGGAATGGATGCTGGCAGCTCATCCTTCTCTCTGACTGCCAGGTGAGAGTAACAATCGTACAATATCTCTCTCCTTCCCTCTCGCTCTCTCTCGCTCTCGCCCTCTCTCCCTTTCTCTTTCTGCCTCCCCCCTCTTTCTCTCTCCCTCCCTCTCTCTCTCCCCCTCTCCCCCCTCTCTCTCCCTTTTTCTCTCTCCCCCCTGTCTCTCCCCCCCCCCCCCTCTATCCCCCCCCCTTTCTCTCTCTCCCCCCTCTCTCCCTTTCTCTCTTTTCTTCCCCCTCTCACTCTCCCACCCTCTCTTTCCTTTTCTCTCTCTCTCTCTCCCTCCTCTCCTCTCTCCCCCTCTTTTTCTCTCCCTCTCTCGTTCTCTCTCCCTCTTTCCCTCTCTCGCTATATTCTCTCTCTCTCTCATTTGGAGGGGCGCCCGATTTTTGTGTTGCCTAGGCAGCACAAATACAAAATACACCACTGGATGTAAGGCTTGGATGCAGCTGCTCGACCATGGAAACCCATTCCATGAAGCTCTCTACGCACTGTTGTTGTGCTAATCTGAAATTTGGAGGCTTTTAGCTATTGACTCTGCAGGCAGTCGGTGACTTCTGTGCGCTGTGTGCTTCATCATGTGCTGACCCTGCTCTGTCATTTTACATGGCCTACCAATTCATGGCTGAGTTGCTGTTGTTCCCAGTTGCTTCCACTTTGTTATAATACCACTAACAGTTGACCGTGGAATATTTAGTAGCAAGGAAATTACACGGATGGAATTATTGCACAGGTGGCAACCTATCACGGGACCATGCTTGAGTTCACTGAGCTCCTGAGAGCGACCCATTCTTTCACAAATGTTTGTAGAAGCAGTCTGCATGCCTAGGTGCTTGATTATATACACCTGTGGCCATGGAGGTGATTGGAACACCTGAATCCAATGATTGGGAGGGGTGTCCCAATTCTTTTGGCAATATAGTGTATATTGGAATTTACGCAGCTTTTACTTTCTGACTGCCTATCACATTTCTTGAAGTGCTAAAATACGAGGGTAGTACAAAAACCTACCAAATTACCCCTTTTTGGAAAGTAGACACCCCAAGGAATTTGCTGAGGGGCATGTTGAATCCATGGAACATTTAATTTTTTGCCACAAATGTTTGAAATTTTTTTTTTTATTTACACAAAGTTGTCACTTAAATGATATTTTGCTCACACATGCCATGGGTATATGTGGAATAACACCCCAAACACATTCTGCTACTTTTGCCCAAATATGGGGATATAAGATCTGAGAGACTTTTTGGCAGCCTAGCTACATACAGGCCCCGAAAATCCAATGACCATCTCCAAGCTTTCAAAGGGCATATTTCCTCACATCACTTCCTCACTGCCTATCACAGTTTCAGAGGGCCTAAAATGCCAGAATAGTACAAACACCCCCACAAATTCCCCTTTTTGGAAAGCAGACAACCCAAGGAATTTGATAAGAGGCATGGTGAGTATTTTGCCAATATCGTTTTTGTCACAGGTTTTTGAAAAAGAAAAAATACATTTTCTTTTTCATTCATCGTTTTCCAAAAACTTGTGGTAACAAATGAGATCTGCAAAATAAACACCATGCCGCTTTGCAAATACATTGAAATGCCTACTTTCCAAAAGAGGGTCATTTAGAGGGGGGTGCTTCTATCCTTGCATTTCAGGGCCAACATTAGAAGCTTATGCCACACATCACGCACTTTTCTAACCACTCGAAGACCAAGCCTTTTCTGACTCTTTTTGTTTACATGAAAAAAAGCTGATTTTTTGTTAGAACATTACTTTGAACCCCCAAACATTATATGTATTTTTAAAGCAGAGGCACTAGAAAATAAAACAGTGGGTGTTGAAATTTTTTTATGTCACACAGTATTTGCGCAGCAATTTTTCAGACACAAATTTTTGGGAAAAAATACACTTTTTAAAATTTTAATGCACAAAAACATAATACAGGTAAAACTTGAAAAATTCGACTATCGTGCAAAAGTTAATTTATTTCAGTAATGCAACTTAAAAGGTGAAACTAATATATGAGATAGACTCATTACATGCAAAGCAAGATAGTTCAAGCCGTGATTTGTCATAATTGTGATGATTATGGCTTACAGCTCATGAAAACCCCAAATCCACAATCTCAGAAAATTAGAATATTGTGAAAAGGTGCAATATTCTAGGCTCAAAGTGTCCCACTCTAATCAGCTAATTAAGCCATAACACCTGCAAAGGGTTCCTGAGCCTTTAAATGGTCTCTCAGTCTGGTTCAGTAGGAATCACAATCATGGGAAAGACTGCTGACCTGACAGTTGTGCAGAAAACCATCACTGACACCCTCCATAAGGAGGGAAAGCCTCAAAAGGTAATTGCAAAAGAAGTTGGATGTTCCCAAAGTGTTGTATCAAAGCACATTAATAGAAAGTTATGTGGAAGGGAAAAGTGTGGAAGAAAAAGGTGCACAAGCAGCAGGAATGACCGCAGCCTGGAGAGGATTGTCAGGAAAAGGCCATTCAAAAGTGTTGGGGACTTTCACAAGGAGTGGACTGAGGCTGGAGTCAGTGCATCAAGAGCCACCACACACAGACGGATCCTGGACATGGGCTTCAAATGTCGTATTACTCTTGTCAAGCCACTCCTGAACAACAAACAACGTCAGAAGCGTCTTACCTGGGCTAAAGAAAAACAGACCTGGTCTGTTGCTCAGTGGTCCAAAGTCCTCTTTTCTGATGACAGCAACTTTTGCATCTCATTTGGAAACCAAGGGCCCAGAGTATGGAAGAAGAATCGAGAGGCACACACTGCAACATGTTTGAAGTCCACAGTGAAGTGTCCACAGTCTGTGTTGATTTGGGGAGCCATGTCATCTGCTGGTGTTGGTCCACTGTGCTTCATTAAGTCCAGGGTCAACACAGCCGTCTACCAAGAGAATTTGGAGCACTTCATGCTTCCTTCCACAGACGAGCTTTATGGGGATGCTGACTTCATTTTCCAGCAGGACTTGGCACCTGCCCACACTGCCAAAAGCACCAAAACCTGGTTCAATGACCGTGGGATTACTGTGCTTGATTGGCCAGCAAACTCGCCTGACCTGAACCCCATAGAGAAGCTATGGGGCATTGCCAAGAGAAAGATGAGAGACATGAGACCGGACAATGCAGAAGAGCTGAAGGCCACTATTGAAGCATCCCGATCTTCCATAACACCTCAGCAGTGCCACAGGCTGATAGCTTCCATGCCACGCCGCATTGAGGCAGTAATTGCTGCAAAAGGGGCCTAAACCAAGTACTGAGTATATATGCATGCTTATACTTTTCAGAGGTCGGATATTTTTCTATGTACAATCCTTGTTTTATTGATTGCATGCAATATTCTAATTTTCTGAGATTGCGGATTTGGGGTTTTCATGAGCTGTAAGCCATAATCATCACAATTATGACAAATCACAGCTTGAACTATCTTGCTTTGAATGTAATGAGTCTATCTCATATATTAGTTTCACCTTTTAAGTTGCATTACTGAAATAAATTAACTTTTGCACGATATTCAAATTTTTCGAGTTTCACCTGTATATTGCACAATTGTTTGATAAAATATAAAAGATCATGTTATGCCGAGTAAATGGATACCAAACATGACATGATTTAGAATTGTGCAATAGCGACAAACTACTTCCATTTTTTTTATCCATAGGCGACCCTTTAAAAGCTTTTGCAGGTCATCACTTTAGATTTACACTGGAAGTCTAGTGATAGAATTATTGCACTTGATCCAACATTCACGTTGATACCTCACATCCATGGTGCAATCTCTCTTTACATACCACTCCAGGATCTCCGCTTGCATTTGCCTTTGCACGGGGATGGGGGTGAGAGTGAATTTTTTTTTAATTATTTATTATGCTTTTTTTATTATTTTTATGCTGTCCCTTTCATATTTTTATCACTTTTATTGTTATCACAGGGAATGTATATAAACCGCTGTAGGCAGTGACAGGTAGTCTTTTCTGAGAAATCTATGGTCTATTAGACTCTAGATCTCTCCTCTTCCCGTAAAGCAGGGGTTGATCACAGTCTACCTGTCAACCGTGGGAAGGTCCCTCTCCCCCAGCCTCCTCCGCTGCTGCTGTCATTCTCAGTGCACAGCATACAGTGGAGGACAGCACAGCTCAGGACGGAGGGCAGGAGGAGGAGCTGGCCATATTAACTTTTCATTTTAACCCACAGGTGATTGGTTGCTAGGACCAACCTAGAAACCAATCACCTGCGGGTTAAAATGAAAAGTTAATTTGGCCAGCTCCTCCTCCCACTGTCCGTCCTGAGCCGTGCTGTCTTCCACTCTTCGTTGTGCACTGAGAATGACAGCAGCAGCGGAGGAGGCTGCTGGGGGGGGGGAGAAGGGGGCCAGAGGTTACTGCTATGGGGGGAAAGGAGGTGCAGAGGACACTACTGGGGGGGAGGTGATGTGCAGAGGACACTGCTATGGGCAGGGCCACCCCAATAGCAGTGTGTTCTACCGTCCTACATATCACCCCCCCCCCAAGTAGTGTCCTCTGCCCCCCCCTTTCCCCCATAGCAGTGACCTCTGGCCCCCTTCTCCCCCCCCCCTCAGCAATGTCCTCTGACCCCCTTTCCTCCATAGCAGTGACCTTTGGCCCTCTTCTCCTCTCCCCCTCGCAACGTCCTTTGCCCCCTTTTCCCCCACAGCAGTGGCCTCTAGAAACCCCCCCCCCCCCACCAGCATTGCCCCCCATGGACAGGTATTTTAAAAATCTGAACTCCCAGCAAGTGGCTGGGGATCAGAATTTTTTGCCCCCACCCTGGTTAACTAAGGCAGCTGCCTAAGCAGCCTTATGCTGGCACCCAACATATGACTGCTCAGGCAGCCGCCTTAGGGCACCAGGGTAGCTGGAGGGCAGAAAAATCCTGATCTCCAATCACTTGCTGGGAGTTCAGATTTTTCAAATACCTGCCTTCCGACGATCCCCTTTATTGTCCTCCTGGAGCAGCTGAAAGCTAGCATCTCCTCCTTGCTCTCCCACCAGCGTACATCTGCTACAGGAGAAAAATCCAGGGGACAGGTTCTAGTATTCGCCTCCCCCCGCTGCCCCTCCTGTCCTTGTTCCTCCTTTTTTCTCCTGCCTGGCCCTTCCCCCAAGTGCTCCCCGTTCAATAGGAAAGAAAAATATTTAAAAAATATAAAAAAATAACACTTTTTTGGCAGGAGGGCGGCAAGTAGTTAAAATATAAACACTCAATAATTTGTTTAAACATTTTTTTTAAACATTATTATTTTTTTTCTTTTACTTTTTTTTACTTTAATCAGAGTAGTGCAATGTTACCATAGTAACATTGTACTACTCTTGGGGGGTATTCAGGGATTTTTTTTAACACTTTGCATTGCAGGAGCAATAAAGATTATATTGCTCTGCAATGCAAAGCTTGCTTTGAACTGTCATGAATGGGTTAAGCGCACAACCTTGCGCATTACCTCAATAACCAAAATTTATTGATAAAGGAATGGTACTCACAAACAGAGAATAAAATCAGGCATGTAAGTCCTCCACGGGACTTCAGAGACAAGAAGCCAGTGCGAATCTCAGAGCTCTGATGAAGAAGGCATGGTCTTCGAAACACGTCAGCTGTACTGAGTGACTACCCCCATGATGAGATTCGCGCTGGCTTCTTGTCTCTGAAGTCCCGTGGAGGACTTACATGCCTGATTTTATTCGCTGTTTGTGAGTACCATTCCTTTATCAATACATTTTGGTTACTGAGGTAATGCGCAAGGTTGTGCGCTTCTCGTTTTTTTGTTTCATTCTGCAGTATTGGTCGGGCTTCCCCAGCCTTGTGTGGAGCTGCACAACCTTTCATGCACTGGTGGTCGTTTTTTCTGGTTTTGGTTCCATCCATTGGCCTGAGTCCTGGAGCGCAGGAGAAATCGTATTTGGTCCAT